TTGCCAGGACGCTCCTTCGCCGCACGACGGAGGGGGCAAGTTGGACCAGCGGTGTGCTCGGAGCTACAGTGGGGGCTAGAGCAGATCCGCGTAGCAATGCTATGCTCCTCCGGACCATTCCGAGCACACCATGACAAAAGAGCGTCTGCGTGCTTCATTTCTCAGAGCTTAAGTTGGTCGCTAAGGAAACTAAGATAGTCAGAACGCCTGCCGTGGGGCCGTCAGGAACCAGTGTCGTGAATATGCGGTATGGTTGCCGCTCGCCACCAGCTTTTGGCTTCAACTTGCTGAGTCCACCAAGTTTACCAAAAACCAACCAGGTTTCTTCAAAACCAACCAGGTATCTCGACAAAAAACCAACAAACGGAAACATTGCGGAAACATGCTCTAAGGGGGGGGCCGAGGCGAAAAGACAAAAAAACGCGCCTCCAAAATAAAAAACATACATGTCCGGAACAAATGGTGTGGATTTGCAAAATCGGCCCCCTCTCAGACTAATATAAGAAAGCCGTACGACAGACTACATGCTCTCCAGACACAGATTATCGAGACTCAAGATTCAGGAGCATTTCAGCCCAAACATCAAAAAACACGTTTCATGCCAAAAATGCAGAGAGAGTGTGAGAGAACGAAAGATGTTTTTTGATTTCAACAAACATGTGTTCCTCGATGAAATGATCCCGGGTCAATCCCGAAGCGGACTTGTCTTGTGAGTGCAGGGAACTGAAAAAGTGTGAGGGACGGTCATAAATACTGCCTTACAGCCTTCAAGAGATTCTTTTGAAGCGACAGCCCGGGGTTTGGGAGGTTTGGGCGACAGACCCGGGCACGTGGCACGGGGTAGTTTACCTTTGTTTTGTCGAAAATGTTTTGACTTGTGCCTCAAATTGGGGCAGCAGATTCAACACACTTCTGGGGTTCAAGGTCGTACAAAGGTTTAGAACACTTGCTCCGCCCCTTAACCCAGACCCACACGAACGTCAGCAGCTTGCAACGACATGCAGGTCGACGCAGCATTTGGTTCAAAATAGTCCCTGGTGGACTGTCGTGTTATGGGTGCTGGCCCAAGTTGGCAGGGAACTGCTTGCGTGGATCCATGCTGCCGTAGCAAAGCGGACGAAGATGACGAGACTGGATCGCCCGTGGTGGAGGGATTCCCTGCTCACAATCACGACCAGGAGCAACCGCAGCAAAACAAAGCTGAGGGCTGGGATGCCATAGCGCTGCCTATGTCGCTGCAGGTGTCTGGTACTGATGGAAAGCATGGCATCCAGACTCTTGCTGTGCCCGTCGCTGTAGCATATTCCGGAATGTCTCCTACAAGCAGCCGCAGTTCAGCAGCTTCTGTTGCAAGATTGACTCCTAGCCAAAGGCATACAAAGGGAAGATACTCTGACGTCGACATGGCAATGGTCCGAGGCATTTCGCTCCGCAAGTCCTTGAGGCGTCTCGGCCGTGTTTGGCGTTACAACCCCTCAACCTGGCTGCCGGAAGATCGGTTGGCTTTGTACACTCTGTCGGCCCCAGCAAGATCCTTCAATGTCTTTTTGTCCCACACTTGGTGGACACCAGGCAGATGGAAGTTCCTCTCGCTGTCCTTTCAGTGTGGCTGGTGCTATGTCCTTGCTCTATGGATCCTGACTGTGGCGCTCACTGCTTGGTTGTGCTTAGAGGATGTTCTACCCATGCCCATGAAATACGAAGCTCGAATCATGGGCTTCACGGACCCTTAGACTCATCAGGCCATTGATAGTCTTCCCTAGGCTTCCTGAACCATAACGAAATCTACAGCAGTGGAAGCTGAGGACGTCTGCCCTATGGGCATCTGCGTCCTGTGCAGCAGTCTCCTGGCTACTGTGCTGGGGCTTCTGTCGACGCCCTATTGGCCAAGGTGCCTCTCTTTGGCAGACACGAGCTTCATTGATGCTGGGTTCTTCAGGAACGTCGTGTTTTATCGTTACCACAATACGGAAACAGTAGTACACTGTATTCGGATTTTTTTTACTCAGGGTAGCTCAATGTAAGTTTCTAACAAGAAGCTCAGGATGTGACGTGCATCAACCAAGTGGACAAGCGGCTCATGGAACGGGGCGTTTTCAGCATCGCCGGCTTTCTCGGCCTGGCAGAGGAGCTGCGAATCCTCTGGAGTGCACCATACCTCTCAAGGCTACTTGATGAGTTCATGATTAAGGTTTTCTTTGGGATAGGGTTTAGGGTCTATGGGAAGTTTCATTGAAGTATCATCAGTCCTCGCAAGAATGCTCTCGCAGTGTCTGGTGCCGGTAATGGATGGTACTGCGTGTGTTGTGTTGCAGCTCAACCCGCGAAATCCTAAACATGTAGAGCGTTGTTCCGCATCCTTCAGTCGCCAAGGGCCAGCTTGGCTCAGCCTCGGCATATGAGGATAAGAGGAATTATCACCAAGACATGTATCATTATGGTTCTTGCTGCCAAGGCGTTTCACATCGAAATTAAATGGATTATGATGTTCTAACTCATAAGGAGCACTGGGAAGAGTGACCTGCACCTCTTGCCAGCATCATCATCATCGACATCATCATCATCATCATCATCTTCTTCATCTTCATCTTCATCTTCATCTTCATCAGCGCCACTACCATCGCCATCACCTTCGTCGTCATCATCATGGTCTTCGTCTTCATCATCACAACATCATCATCCGCATCCTCTACATCACCATCATCTTCATCAGCGTCGTCCTCACGATGATGATGATGATGATGATCACCATCATTAGCATCATCAACGTCTTCGTCTTCGTCGTCATCTTAATCATCATCAAATCCTCATCCTCATCAGAGTCGTGGTCATCATCACCATCATCATCGTCATCATCATCATGAACATGATCATGATCATCATCATCATCATCATCGATTCCCTGTCACGGCAAGGCTCTGGTGCGTCTTTGAGCGCCTTGGTTGCCGGTTCTCGTGTCGTTTTCTTTTCCTCAGAGATCCGAATCTTCTGGAGAACATAGACCGACCCCAAACCCTGAACTCGAAAGGGGTATCTTTACATAGGGGTCTTCTTGTCAGGGTCCTCAGCGCAAGATTCTTTCCGATCATAATCGGAAACTTTTCGAGGAGACTTTCCTAAGATTCCCGCAAGTCGTAAGATAGACTCATAGAGAGAGAGCAATGATGGTAAGACTTCCAGTCTCTGTGAGGCTGGCAGCATACAAGAAAGTGAACCCATCTGGAAAAGTTGCCTTCCGGCCCCTCTTTCTTGAGAGGGTCGTGGCTCTGACTATGGTGGCGCAGTACGGCGTCTGCCTGCTTCTGCTGGTGGCACGGGATGTTTTCGGCCCTGGCGTCGTAACATTTGTGGCGTCCTTCGCGATTTGGATCCTGCCAAATTCCATGTGCGTGTATGGACTGAGGATGAGCTTTCGCGAAAAATATCAGCTCCTGATGCAGCTGGAAAGCTTCGACTTAGATCAGGTCGGCTGCAGCCAGAAGTTTGATCGAGACACGGTGGCAAGAGTGTTACGAACAATCTGCCAGATTCAAATCCCGCACGGGAAGGCTCATGAAACTTAGTTCGCAGGGGGCAATCATTCATTCTGCGATTTGTTTTCCGTGGCTCAGACTCAACTCGCTCCGGTTTGATTGATGTTGGTACGGTTGTAGTGTTGCGGCCAGGGAAAGAGCCCATGCTCCGAACGTGTTGTACAACATGTTTCATGGATCCAAGCAGTGTGAGGAGATTTCATCCATGCGGCCATCACGAAGTGGTACGGACATAAGGACATGTTCACAAGCTATGCGCCTTGGTCTGGGTGAGTTTTCTCTGCAACAGACTGATACGCCTAAACACTCAAGCTTGAGTCACTTCCAGCACTTCGTTCCAGGTGCGTCGCGATTTGAAACAGGAGTTTGCCAAGACTCTGTCAGCCACCAGGCTTCCAAATCGCTACTTGCTGCTGATGCTGACACTCCTCTTTTCTTGGCAAAGCTGTTGTCATAAATCAAGTTTTGCGCAAGCTCGTTCAAACTTACTGTTCGGGCTTTGCACTTGAGAGCCTGAGTTGTGGTTGGATGAAGGGAGGATGATTGTCTAGATGTGATGCAACGAAGCCACAAGCCCGTGCGCGTATAGGAACACTTGGGGTTCTAGTAGTCAAGGGGTACTGCCAGCAGCGGCTGGTCACGGCAGTAAACATCGCAATAGTAGCAAACATAGGAGTAGTAATTCCAACGTAGTCTTGATACTGTAGCAACAGTTGCTGCGTTATTGCCCATCGCAAACTGGCAGCAGCCATCGTAATGATGGCGATAATCAGCGGTAGGCACACGAACAGGTCTGGTGTAGTGTAGTGGGAATGAAACTTCAGTAGTGGTCTTGGTAGTAGCAATAGCAATAGTACACAGCCGCCGAAATTATCATCATCCTCGTCGTCATCGTCATCGTCACCGTCACCACCATCATTTCCGTTATCATCCGCATAAACTCAGCAGAAGCTCCTCAATGACGGTACGTACTCATTGCGGCCACAAGCCCAGTGAGCCTAGGACTCCTATTCTCAGCATGAGCTTCGAGTTTTTCCTGGCGAACTGGAAGGGCGGTGCACCCGTGGAAGTTCTGGTTTCCTACTTCGTGGGCATGTTCCTGGCATTCGATGCATCGTGGTGTTAACTCAAAAGCTGTGTCCCATTGCAACATTAGGCCGAACTTCGCGTGATTGTTCAACATATTGCGCGAAGAACCGAGGTTTTCTGTACCATTTCTGCAATATTGTTGATGATATACCTTTGTGACCTTCTAGCTCCGAAGCGCTTCGGCCCCTTCGATCACATGCAGACCCTGGCTATCATCATCTTCGTCACAGGTCTGCAAAGCCTGTCGCACGAGGTGGGAGTTTCAGAAAATTAGGGTACCTTATTTTGGGGTCCTTATAGTAGGGATCCTGCTGTTTTTTGGGTACTATATTAGGGTCCCCTGTTTTCGGAAACCCCCAGGTTGCTGCAATCTCGTACCAGAGCAGTCTCGAAGGGGCATTCGGCGCCCTCGCGCTTGCTGTGATCCTTGCAGCTTTTATGTGGCTAACTCGCTGAGAAATGTGTTCTTTCAGTTTCTGACCAGAAGAAGCATAGTGCGCTTTGTGAGCGGCAAAGAATGCAGGTGGTGGTTGGAGGGCACTTCCATCGCCAAGTTGGTCGCGAAGCTGCGGCGACCAGACAACAAGAGTGATGTGATCGATGCTGAGCCAGCCAAGGAAGCATCTGAATCTCCGATGGAGAACCAGGAGCTTCCGGACATTTAAGCATTTAGCGACGGTTGGAGCTTGGCGGGGCACCGGCAACATGCCGTGAGGTCTGGTCCGGCGGTTAATGATGCAGGTAAGGAGTCTTGTGCCAAAGGCACTCTCTTCCACCGCTTCTCAGTCTGTATGAAGCCCTTCGACTTCCTTGCGCCAAAGAGGAGTTGTAACGTTGGCTTTTCTGCCATCTTTCAGGCATTTCCGTTCTCTTTTTCCCGGCCACGTCGCTTGAGTGTTTCTAAACTTCGGAGGTGCTGTAGCATTACCAGTGCTAAGCTGCTGACAACAATGGTGATGCCCCCTCCGAGTAAGACGGTTGCTTTTCGAATGTTTTGAGCAGTGTGATTATCAGGATGCTTTATGCCATAGCCTTTTCTGCGTGCTAGTTGTCAGAACGTCAGGTTCTCGGAGTGGTCGTCATCGTTTTTGGTGGTGGTGGTGGTCTGAATCCTCCCCCCACCCTAAACCCTAATCCCCAGTCCCTAAACCCTAAACCCTAAACCCAAAACCCTAAACCCTAAACCCCCCCCCAAACACTGAACCCCTAGAGACGCGAACACAAACACCTCAAAAGCCTGTGCATCGGACTGAAGACTTCAAGCCCGAACCTTGGGACGGTGACGTAGCAGGAACTCTTCTCCTTATCTTGTGGCGTGTCTTTTTTTTCTTGTGGTATGTGTGTGTGTGTGTGTGTGTGATTGATTGATTGCTTTTTTCATGTCACGATGCCTGTCTCTGTCTCTCTTCAGAGTTTGGTTCAGTGTGTCCAAGTTTCGCTGATGGTGTTCGCGATAGTAACCATGAAGGAGGCATGCCCAGAACATACTGCTGACGGTCGTAGCAAGAATGACAGCGCTAGTTGTAGGTGTCATAGTTAGTCATAGTTGTATCTTGTTTTCAAGTTGGAGTAGTGTCTGAGGCTAACCGAAGTCTGGAGGTGGGAGGTCTTTTGGGTTTAGACCTCTCCAAAGCGGTAAGTAGCCCTGTATCCCCCGGCAGTAGACTTGAACCCTGAACCCTGAACCCCAGCAATGGAACGGCAGCGATGGAACGGCTGGGCTGGAAAGGTCGAGGTCTTCGGTCTGCTAGTTTGAAACTGGAGGTTTCAGGCCAGAGACATGTAGTTGCAGTTCAGGGACAACGAGAGATAGCAGTAACACAGTCACATCACTGATTTCGCTATGCCCATCCTCGTGATGATGTCGATGCAGAGTTTCAGGATGACAGTGATGACCATGATCAGTATGATGATGGTGATGATGGTCATAGCGAGCCGTTGCTCCACAGGGGTCAAAAGGGGGTGCGTTCATCGAGCAACAAACAAGACATCCTGTCAGATGCTAGCCAAATGCTTCCGAGAGAAGTTGTACTATCCTAGCTGTTGTTTTAGGCTCTTGTGAGCCGCAAGCAAATCAGAACCTGTCGCTGCATGCATAAATAAACGCGAAACGACGGCAACAGATCCTCCGAAGAAAAGCCCGGTCACGCTGACAGCCGCCGTACTTCAAGTAGAGCAAGTTGAACAGATCGACTGCAATTGAGACACACGCAAGCCGGATTTCGATCTGCGCTGGCGCAATGGCCTGCTCCTCAGGTTAGTTGTGGTATTCAGCTCAGTCAAACACCCTTGCCCCTGATTTGGCCACGGGGGTTGAGTCGTGCGTCCCCCAACACCTTGTCCTGCAGTCAGCGGTTGCCCAGCTAGCCTCGTGATTTGATCGTAATTGATAAAACAGTTTGCCGACAAACTTGCCGAACAGGCTGCTTTTATGCGGCGGCTTGGCGTGGCATCCAAGGACATTGATTGCTCTTGCTGGGATTGTCCGGTTCAGCCATGGCAACATGGAAGCCTTAGCTAGCCAAGTCGGATCCTGAGAACTAATCCCCAAAGCCTGGGCGCAACGACTTGTCGCCTGTTTTGCAGGCTGGAGGACGTTCTGCCGCAAGCTTGGCCTCGCTGGTTTCCACACAGGCTGGCAGAGTTGTCGCAGCATGACCACAACCATCACCATCATCACCATCAGCACCTTCATCATCACCTTCATCATCACCTTCATCATCACCTTCATCATCACCTTCATCATCACCTGCATCATCACCATCATAATGGCCGTCATCATCGTCATCATGCTCATCAACAGCAACAGCCGCTAACCACATCGGCAATGATAAACAAACAAAAACTATCGGTGAAGCATCAACACCACCACACTTCCGTTTGCGCCACTACCACACCACCCCCGCCACCACCTCTGCCGCCGCCTCCCCTGCCATCGCCCCTGCCACCGCCACCGCCACTGCTGACAGCGACGGCGGCAGCGGCAACGACAACGGCAACGATAGCGACTGCGAAGAGTGATTGCAGCAGCAGCAGCAGCAGCAGCAGCAGCAGCAGCAGCAGCAGCAGCAGCAGCAGCAGCAGCAAAGAGCAGACCCAGGCAATTCTGTAGTTTTCTGTGATGCATTTCCTCTGCTCCAAAACCACAGCACCTGAAGGCCGCAGCTGGTGCAGCTCGTCCAGCCATCCTGGCACCCCAGCAAGGTCAAAGGGTTACGGCTTGAGAGTTTCGGGCTCTGGAGTTTGAGACGGAGTTTGAGGGTTGTCGGATAGGGTTCAGGATCGGCTTCCTTCCTCACATCGATTTTGGGGTGAAAGCGTGCGTATGAAGTGGAAAGCATGCCACTCCACGACACTCTTGCAACCTCCTTGGGGTGTCGATCTTCGGAGTCATTGCTCCTGGGATGCCTGAGAGCAAAGTGGCAGGTGAAGGAGCAAAGAAGCCCGCGTGCGCCTACGCACGGGGGGAACGCTGAGCCCCAAACCCTAAACCCGACACCGTAAACCCTAAACCTTAAACTCAAACCCTTAACCCTAAACTTGAACCCAAACCCGAAACCCTGAACTTGAACCCAAGCCCGAAACCCTGAACTTGAACCTAAGCCCGAAACCCTGAACTTGAACCTAAACCCTAAACCCTAAACCCTAAACCCTAAACCCTAAAGCCCGAAGACCCTCCTCCTCCATCCGGGAGGCATCAGCTGGAGCTTCGCAGAGCTCGAGCAAAGGGCCGGGAGCTGAGGTGCCAAGAGTACCATTCGCGTAGATGAGATGTTGTATATATATATATATGTGTTTTACATAAACATAATATGCTTACATCGTATATATATATATATACATATATATATATATATAGAGAAATACATACATATACATATAAACCTGTTAAGCTATATATATATATATGTAACTGTATTGTTTTTTTATACGTGTACACGCATATATGTATAAACATACACATAGACATATACATATCCATGTATTAGGTACATCCATCTATCTGTCTATATATATATATATGTATATCCTTACACACATACACAAGAATACTGACATTAACAACAGTCATGTGTCACTGCGTCGTGGGGAAATCTCTGGACCAGGCGGCCGTAGCAGCAGGAGCGCTTGCCGCCCGGGGCGTGGCACGTCGCTGGGCCATGAGATACTCGTGTGGTTCTTTCGGACGTTTGCAGGTGCAGCTTCAGGGTATCTGCTTGATGAGTCACGCAGGATGACCGTGAAAATACCAAAGACAGCCTGCTGAGGTGGGAGCACTGTCGTCACGGACCTTCCGAACTCAGCCGACAACCTCCTCCTGCAGGCTCTTGGGTTTGTACAGCATGAAAGCACCCTATTCACCACTTGTCCCCTGGCTCCCCGGCTGTTCCGTGAAGACATTCCCTGACGGGGGCGTTGATGTTTCAGTGTTGTGCTTTGGAGTGAAGGAATGATTTTGGACGCTTTTTTAGCATGCTGTTCGTTGACGATGTACGGGCTTCTGTCTGAAGCGGAGGGACTCAACGAGCTCCGAACGCCGGTGCGCGAGGTCGCATGCTCCCGACTCGGGGCGGCCGTGGCGACAGCAAAGGACAGACACTTGGTCACAGTGCTGGATGCGCCGGACTTCTTACCAAGCATCAGAATTTAGAAATAGAACAACAATGACACCAAAAGTCCGTGCATATTTACAGGGGAATATGCTTACCTTCCATCGCCTAAGCAAATTCTACACTATGAGCATTGCGAAACATGAACCAACAGTCCGACGAAGGCTTCTTGTATACCACGCATTATTTATAAGACACTATACATGTTATGTTACATAACATATGTTATATGTTATATGTTATATATTATCGGTCTTCTGTTATATGTTATATGGCATGTTTTATATGCATATGGCATGTTGTACGTTATTTGGTGTATATCATATGTTATGTTTTTGAACGGTTTATTTTATGTTATAACATTCATAAATTTATGTTACAGCGTTACAGGTTGCATATTTTCGTTTTGCCGAAGAAACCAGGACGAGGCAGCTCTGAACGAGTTGCAGAAGGTCACTGATCTTAGACTCGCCATAGCCTCAGATCGAGCTCTGGGTCCGCGTTCCGGGTTAAGGGTTAGGGTTTAGGGTTTAGGGTTTAGGGTTTAGGGGTTTGGGTTTAGGGTTTAGGGTTTAGGGGTTTAGGGTTTAGGGTTTTGAGATTTTCGAAGCTGATAGCTCCTTCACCTCTTCCTCTCCATCCAAATATTCCTATACCTCGTCCTTTCCGTCATCCTCACTGCTCCACATCCTCCTTTTCATCAACATCGTCTCTCATGAAAGAAGTTGTGTTGCAGCTGCGGCAGGCCGTCACACATCCGGGCAGCGAGGCCTCCAACCCCGCGCTGGCCGCTGCCTTTGCAGGTGTCATGTAGGGGCCTTCATCATTGGTACAAGGTCTTATAAGTGATGTGTTTTATAGGGCTTAATGGTTTTTTCATACAGGCGCCTTGATTAGTGCAGCAGGGTTACTTGAAGTGTTTCTTCAGGGCTCTGTAAGTGAGGGTTACGATAGAGGTTCTGATACGGGGGCCGTAACGACTATGATAGGCTTTTGGGGTACATTATGGTTTAACTACCTTGGGACGATACGGGGACATCCGTGCTGCTTTTTCAGGCCCCCATGGATTGAACGAAGACCGGCATCGATGCTCTTCCTGTACACTCCGGCGTGTCTACTTGTCTATCAAAGCTGCCGAGCTGCTTGACGTATCCGTTTGCGCTTTCTGAGGCACAGTACTCGCTGAAGGAGTCCCCTCATGTTGTGGAGGCCTGGGGTGGCAGCTCGGTTGAGGTGCCTTCAGAGTCTCAGGGGGCAGGGAGCTTCAGGGCTGCGGTTCTTCACGGCTTCGAGGGTTTATGCATGCGGATGGAGCCTTTGGTGGCTTCTGCTCGCGGTCGTGGCACAAGAAGGTCAGGGACGCAGCCGCTGCCATGCCGCGGGAGAAGGTGTCCGTCGTTTGGTTCAAAGCCACAGACCTTCGGACTCACGACCACGAGCCTCTGAGCCTTGCTCATGCAGCAGGCCTCCCTGTGCTGCACCTTTACGTGCTCGATCCCAGGTGGTTCAAGAGCACGCCGCTGGCCGGCTTTCCGCGCACCGGACCACGGAGGGCTCTCTTCCAGTTGGAGGCACTGGCAGACTTGAGCAAGCGGCTTGAGGCGGCAGGGCACAAGCTGTGCGTCCGTCGTGCAGTCTCGACAGCCCGTGCCTTCGAAGAGCTTTGTGATGACTTCGAAGTTGCAGCATGCTACGCCTGCAGGGAGGTCTGCCCAGAGGAGCTTAGACTGGAGCAGAAGGTGCAAGAGGTGCTGAAGGCAAAGCGTGCCGGCGAACTACAGCTCTGCTGGACCTACGAGCTGCACCACTACGATGACCTACCTGCAGAGGTGCGGAGGAAGGGGGCTTCTGGCTTCTCCGGCTACCGGCGTTGCTTCTCCGAGCGTGTCCAAGTGCGGGATCCTCTGCCGAGGGTGGACCTGGCCAAGTCAAGTCCCGTTCACTGGACACGCGCTGAGGGGCTGCCCTCCAGCGTCACTGACCTGGGCCTTGCCGCACCGGCGCCGGAGCCCGACGACCGAGCGGAAGTCAGTTGGGTAGGGGGCGAAACCGCAGCCTTGACAAGGCTAGAGGAGTATTTCTTCGAGAGCAACGACATCGCTTTGCAGTTTGTCGGTGCGACGAACTTCCCTCACGACGGGCATAGCAGCACGGTCGCGAAGTCTCAATCGAAGCTGTCTCCCTGGCTTGCACATGGCTGCTTGTCTGCCAGGTACCTTTACGCAGAGCTGAAGCGTTACGAGAGGGAGCGCCGGCAGACCGACTGCACAGCTCGCATGGTCCACGAGCTCTACTTCCGCGATTTCGTGCGCTTCAGTGCCCTCCTGAAAGGCAGTAAGATCTTCAAGCTCGAGGGCATCTATGGCCGCCACCCGCCAGGTGGCTGGCTTCAAGAGGACGAGCTGCTGGCCCCTTGGTGCCACGGGCGGACCGGGTTTCCCTTTCTGGATGCTTCCATGCGCGAGCTGGAGGCCACAGGTTCTTGTTGCCACGCAGGGCGTGAGGTTGCAGCTTGGTTCTTGGTCTGTGACTTGGGCATCGACTGGCGGCTGGGTGCGGAGTGGTTCGAGTCCACTTTGATCGACTACGAGCCAGCTTCCAACTGGTTTAACTGGGCCTTCACGTGTGTGCCACGGGCCACCGGCGGCAACAGTATCCAAGAGGAGGCCAAACCCCTGCGGCCTCCGCGGACGCGGCTGCAGACCTTGGAAGCCATCTACTGGGCAGCGCAGCAAGACCCGGACGGAGAGTACATCAAGCTCTGGGTGCCAGAGCTCCGAGGCCTCACAGGGGACTTGGCGCGGGAACCCTGGAAGGCCACGTCCCAAGAGCCCGAAGAGGCCCCACGAGTGGGATCGGCTCCGGAGGAGTGGCCTCCGGCGCTCGCAAAGGAGCGCGAGCGCATCGGCTGGGCGCGGAGAACTTTCCCCGCCGGGGGCTCCCAGGTGGCCGTGTGGTGGGGCTGTGTGCGTGAGGGCGCTGCTGCATCTGCTGCTCCTTCAGGAACCATAGAGCGGAGGCTCGACCCTGATGATGGCAGGGAGTATACCTTGGAGGGCCTGAAGGAGAAGTACAGGGGCCAGTACAAACTGGAGGAGGTCCGCGTGTACTGGAAGAACACATGTGAACCTCTCGAGGCCAAGACAGACCCAGCAGATGGCAAAGCATATACGTTGGCGGAACTGCATGTCAGGTATCGACAGCAATACACTCGGCAGGAGATTGCCGAGTACTTCAAGTCCTCCTGTGCACCGGTGAAGGAGAAGAAGGGTGGCTCGGCTTCTGTTCCTCGGAAGAAGCCTGCAACAGGCTGGCCAGAGGGGTATCCGTTGCCGTTGTTGCCACCCGCGTCTTTCTTCAGCATCGAGGAGATTGCGGAGCATTCTCGGCGTGGCCAGGCACGGAAAGCTGCGAAAGCTGCCCGGCTCGAGAAAGAGCTGGGCGGTGGCAGTAGGGTCGCAGGCTACGCAGCTCCCAGGTCCGAGCCGGGCAAAGAGAAAGAGCCAAAGCCCAAGCAGGGTCCACGACGCTGGGCCAAAGCTGCACCGCGGGACTCCTGAGAGGCGAGGGCTGGGAAGGCACCAGCCATTTGTACGTAGGAATACGGTAGCTGATGGGTGTGATTTTCGGCATTTTTCGGCAAAACTTCTGCCCTAGGTTGAGACCGCATGCCGTATTGAAGACACTAGGACGAAAAGAATCAGAGCTGGTGCTGTTGGGGAGTCGACCTTCTGGTTGGTGAAGCAGGTACGGGAGATCATGATCACTAGGAGAGTGATGTCAACACCTTTCTTGCCAAAGCTCTGTTGGCCCAGTAAGCTTCTGGCTCCCCGCCACCACTACGGCAATGCCATCATCGGCCTCCTCTGCCTTCCGTTGTCCCTGGCCCTGGCTAAACCCTAAACCCTAAACCCTAAACCCTAAACCCTGGCAGCAGGCCCTAGATGGCTCGCTGTCTTTTACTGCCGGGGCGCCGGCGGCATCCATCCCAGCTGAGGAAGGAGCGGCGCCCGCGGCTCGTAGGGTTTCGGGAGGGCAGGCGTGGGAAGTATTGGGGTTTCCCGCAGTTTCAGGATGGGTATGAGAGGTATCACAAATCTCAAGGTAACAGGTTTAGGGTGTGAGGAGTGGTTTCTGAGTTTTGGCTTTCGTGGCGAGTGTGTGCGTGTGCTTGCGCAGCCGCGGTCTACGTCGCAGCAACCTGAAGGAAACCAGGCTCGCTCTACCAAGCACCCGCAGAGTGGCCGACTCTGGAAAGCAATGCTCTTGGAGAGCCCGCACTGAAGCAGCTAAGCACAGAGCTTGAGGATGCGATGATACAATTACAAGGAGTGTCTCTTTCTGGCTGCCTGAGCGGATTCGGCCAACACCGGGCTCTGCGGTCTGCGGGGCGACCCTGAACCCTAAACCCTAAACCTAGGCGTCTGGCTTGCAGCGAGTG